ACCCGCTGTGCTATTGCTCCAGCCCCCAGAAGCAGCTTTTAAGATGAGGGAGCACGGAAAGCACGGTCCTCCCGTTGTTCATCGATTTGCTCGAGCGGGCCCAGTAACGTCTCCATCATGAGGGAGAACTGGACATAAATAAATGCTTCTCGGCGATAACCTCATTCTATCCCATACTGTCACTTTTTCGAGGCTAAGGCACAGATCACTGAAATTTATGGCTATTTATTATTGTTGGGGGGGGGCGGAAACTCTCAGTGGTGCTGGAGTGGGGACATGAGGTACTAGGATCAAACCCAAAGTCCTGTACATGCATGGCATGAACCCTCTGTAACCCCAGTCCGTGACGCTGCTTTTTTGTTGTCTTAAGTGTCTCTTAGAAGCAGTAAATAGGGCAGAAAGGATGGGAAGGATATTTCAGGGTAGGTGACTCAGAAATTAATTTGGCTATAATGAACTCAGGACAACAGTTACAACATTTTCAGTTCCCCATCTTGCCCGCCATCCTCACTGGGCATAACTGTCCCCAGGTTCTCAAAAATGTGTAAAGAGGCTGGAGAGATACTACAGTAGCTAAGGTGCTTGCTTTGCATGCAGCTGATCCAGGTTCAATGGCTGGTGACAGAAGTAAGCCCTGAGCACTGCTGGTTTGAGTAAAGTGGCTCAAACCCCTTTCTCCTCTCCCAAATGTGTAAGGGCTTTCCAGTTCTTATCAATGCCCAAGACATCTCTGAATTATTAAAATCCTGTCAGAGCTCAGATGTCACTGATTTTTTTTTACAATCAATTTTAGCATCTGAATACTTGACTGTATTGCTTTCTTAGACCCATTACCTGCCTTCTATTAGAGCCCTTCAGACCACGTCTAACTGGAGTCTGTCTCCTCCAGCTCTAAATGCTCACGCATTCTGAAAACATAGGTCCAGTCATGTCTCTTTCTTAAAAGAAATGCTCCAATGGCAGACCCGCTCCTGAGAGGGCCGGACACTGACCTGCTTTTAAACGCTGGCAAGAATCTGATCACCAGGGGCTTGGAGCAATAGCACAGCGGGTAGGGCGTTTGCTTTGCACGTGGCTTACCGGGGTTCGATTCCCAGCATCCCATATGGTCCCCCAAGCGCCGCCAGGGGTAATTCCTTAGTGCATGAGCCAGGTGTGCATCACCAGGTGTGATCACCCAGCCTTGCCAGCCCTGCCTTTTACCTCTGTCTCCCACATGCATCCTTCTGAGCCCTGATGGGCTAAGCTCCATTGGAAAGTGCCATGTGCTGCTACTGCCACAAGTATTGGCTTATGCTGGTCCCTCTTCCCAGGAAACCTTTCTCCAGCAGGTGAATTCTGCAGACCCAGCTCCACGTTCCCCTCTCCCGGCAGCCCTCCCTGGTCCTCTCCTTCAGTTCAAATCACCATGTTATTCCTTCCCACAGCTCAATAGGGCTGCTAATGGGTTAGAAGCTCTGTTTGCACATCTGATTCTGCCTTACACAGACACTGGTGGGCAGGGATGATGCAACAGTTTATCCTCACACTTTGCACACACAGGAACATCGGCACGTTCTTAAGGGAATACATGGAATCCAGAGTAAAGGGTTTACTAATTGATTTCATGTAACCAAAGTGATTCCTACCTCTCATTGTCATGAACATGGTGAGGATATTTCCATTCAATTAAACCCAAGAGTTACTTCAAATAACAAGTGTGTCTCTGGTGGTCACCCAGTGGAAGGTAAGAACTAGTAGAGTCTTCCTGATACTACTGCGCTAGCTGAGCTTCAAGGCTATGTATTCACCTGACAAAATGATGTCAAACGTAAGGCCCATGGGATGCAAAAATTAGACATGACAGTGATGCCCTCAAAGTGCTGGCACTCTAATCACAAAACAATGAAGAGTTACCTACTAATTTTCCTGGTAAGAAATCATGTTTCTCACTTAGTCCTCAAAGCAGTATTGGCACAAGTAGGTGCCAAGTGTTGCCAAAATGGTCTCATCTCATTTCATTCAGCATGATACTCTCTGAGGGGCAGACTTAGAATGACTGCACTCATTTGTTGAACATAAAATAGTATCAGACTAACACCCAAGGACAGTAGAGACAAGGTACAGGAAGATTGCTCCATGGCGGGAAGCCTGCCTCATGTGCTAGGGAAGAAGGCAGTTGGAATAGACTAGGGACAACTAAGTCAATGATGGTCGAAGGGATCGCTTGGGATAGGAGATGTGTGCTGAAAGTAGACAAAGGACCAAACATGATGGCCTCTCAGTATCTGCATTGCAAACCATGATGCCCAAAAGTAGAGAGAGAGTAAGAAGGAAGGTGCCTGTCACAGAGGCAGGGGGTGGGATGGGGTGGGGTAGCTAGAGGGATATTGGAGACATTGGTGGTGGAAAATGCGCACTGGTGGAGGAATGGGTGTTCGATCATCGTATGACAAACTCAATCATGAAAGCTTTGTAACTGTATTTCACGGTGATTCATTAAAAAAAAAGTCTCATCTCCATTTTGTGGTGAGAAAATTGAGGCTCAGAGTGGACCAAATCACTTCCCCATAACAAGTCACGTGACCATAGCAACTGTTGCTTTGATGGTCCCCAGAGCCGCAGCCTGCCCAGCATTCCTGCTCCAATGTGATCTCTTTCCACACTGACGTAAGCTTAGCCATATGGCTTACTTTGGCCAATGGGATATTAACAAGACTGACATAGGCAGAGGTTTGACCAACAGTTGTACCCAAAGGTTTATTTATTCTCCTGGAATACAACCTGTTGGGATCCAGCCACCACGTAAAAAAAACTTGGGATAAATACATGAAAGATCAGGGTCCATGTGGAGAGAGAAGTTAAAGGATGAAAAGCTGTCTTGATATTCTTTTCTACCTCTCAAATAAATGCAGCAATGTGAGAGGGACCCCCAAAGGTTGACTTCCACAATCACAGGCAAATCACTGACCATGAGAAAAAATAAGTTAAAACTGTTTTAAGGGCTGGGATATGGCTCAGTGATAAAACATGTGCCTTGCACATGTGAGGCCCTGGGTTTACTCTCTGGCACCCCTCACCCCAAAACACACACACACACACACACACATATACAAACACACATCAGAGCATAATTCAAACAGTGACAAACTAGGATTTGAATTTAGTACGGCCTGACTTCAAAAATCATGTTCTCAATTTCAATCTCACGTTCTCATTGGGAATAAAATGTCACCCTGTCAGGTCAGTCCATCTTGGCACTCAGTAAATGTATTTTTTTGGGGGGGCACATCTGGTGATGTTCAGGGCTTATTCCCAGCTCTATGCTCAAGTGATGGGGGTCAAATTAGAGCCCACTGCATGCAAGGCAAGTACCTTAACCTCTGTACTATCTCTCCAGTCCAGTAAATACTTGTTGAATGAATAAATAAAAGGTGTGGTGAGAGCAGAAAGGTAGAAAAATCTAGGAAATTCAAAGGGAGAACAGGCAATTTTTTTTTCACAACTCTCTCCTTCCTGTTACAAATATTCCAAAGATCAAGCCAATCTAGGCATCTCTAAGCCTTGAACAAGTGTGGATATCATTAATCTCCCCCCTCCCAGTCTTTCTCCTTACCCTTCCCCTCCCACCCCCATATCAGGGCAAAATTGAGAAGTTTGTCGGTTTCTGATGAGCATTTTGCAGGTACCCAACTCCCCACCAGGTCCCTGCTCTGTCTTTTCTTCTTCCCATTTGGCCTTCTGGGCCTGAGTCCTTTCTTCCCTCTTCCTCTATAAAATCCACATGCAGGAGAGGAGCAGCCATGAAGGAGGGAATTACAGAATGGACAAGGAAAACTGGGCTATGGATGGATGGATTTACAGGCCAAGAAAGGATGCTCTAGGCTCAACCAGTGTTTCAGGCACCTGCACCAGGAGGTGGGGCAGAATTTTAAGGATGGGCAGGCAGCAGGAGGTGGCCTTGTGAATGGGGAATTTTTTTTAAAAGCCCCCCAGCCCTCTAAAAATTCTCCTGCATCCCCGAGAAGCCGAGAGTGCTGGCAGGCTTGAGTTCCCACAAAATGTGTAGCTCAGGGAGTGAAGACTCACATGGGTCCATGGACGCACCCTCTGCTCCTGGCAGCGCGAGATGTCGCCTTTTCATGCTAAAGTCCCCCTCACTCCGGCAACCGGCAACAACACGCCCATCCCTCCCAAGGTCACAGGCCGGGCTCCAACACCTGCCACACACCCCCAGGAAACCAGCTGAGCCCCTCACTGCAGTCTCAGCCCTGGAGGAGAGCAGGCCCCACGCCTACTCGCAAGCAGACCGTGTGGGCAGTGCCCACAGGCAGCGGGTCACCCGCACACATGCAAAGCAATGCAGTGGGGCGCGCACCGCCACCTAGCCTCGCCGTGGGCAGTCACCCGCGGAGGCGCGGGGATGCGCGGAGCCAGAGAAACATGCGTGCACACATATGCAACACCCCTGCCCGTACAGGCCGGCACACGTGCACACCACCGGCAGGCACACACCCAAACCCTCCCACCCTCCTGACACCCGCACAGGTGCCCCGGCAGGCCCCAGCCCCGCCCCTCCCCCACCCCCCCTTTCCGAAGCAGGTGGAGAAGGGCTGGATCGGAGGGCGCCCTCCCCTCCCCCTGGCCTCTGCTCTCCCAGGTCCAGAGTCCCGGCGGGATCCGGAGCCCGCCCCCACCCCACCCCCCAACCTTGGCTAGGGGAGCGACAAGCAGGAGGGGCGGGGGGTGGGTGGAAGGAGGGGGTGGGAGATGGGGGGAGGGGAAGCCAGGCTTAAAACCCGATTCCAATTCCTCCCATTAACCCCTTCCTCACCACCAGCGTGGCATGCCCAGAATCCCGCGGCCTCGCGGGCCTCCAGGAGGGAGGCTGCGGGGAGGACGGCAGAGGCGGCGGCCCGGGAAAAGGGGTGGTGGGGTGCGGGGACGGGGGGGGGGTCCCTCCCCGCCGTCTCGGCCCGGGAAGCGGTCCCGCAGCGCGCGCGCTCGCGACTCGCCCTTACCTCCTGCACCCCGCGGCCCGCGGCTGGGGGGTGGGGTGGGCTGGGGGTGCAGAGGCGGCAGCCCCCCCCGCGTGCGCGCGCGCGCGCGGGGTCCGGACGCAGGGCCGCCTCGGGGCCTCGGATCGCGCCGCCTTCCGCAGCCTCGGGTGGCCGCGCCGCGCCGCGCCTCGCGCCCCCGCCTCCCTCTCGGGGCGCGGGCGGCCGCCTCGCAGCCGGGCGCCGCGGGGTGGGTGGGGGGGGGGACGACGGGGCGACGGCGGCGGGAGGAGGGGGCGCGCGGCACGGCGGCCGGGCGGAGGGGGGCTGCGAGGGGGTGGGGCGGCGCCGGCCCCTCCTCCGGGGCGGGCTCTGCTGCTGCTGCTGCTGCTGCGGGGAGCGGCAGATGCGGCCAGCGGCGGCTGCGCCGGGACCCCACGTTTTCCGCGGAAGGTGGCTCCGAAGGGCGGGGGAGGGGTCCGCGCCGCCGCCGCCGCCGCCCAGGGTGGGGTGAGGGAGGGGTGCAGGGACCGCTGGGGGCTGGGCGTCCCCCGTTCCCCGTCTTCCCGGCCGGGTCCCCGCCCCGCGTCGAGTGTCTGCCCGGGACACCTCCCGTTGTGGCCTCTGCTAAGTCACCCGGGGTCCGAGCCTCTCTAACCATCCCCCCGGGCCTTGGGCCTGGCGCTACCGCGGGCAAATCCTGGGGTAGGCGGGGGGACCCGAGGAGGCCGCGCGCTGCACAGCTTGGGCGAGGGGGGAGGTGCCTGGGTCCTTAAGCGCCCTCGTGGGTGGCGCCTGGCGTGTGCACGTGCGGACTTGGGGTCAAATGCTTGGTTTCCGGAGAAATCGCGTGGGGGCAGTGTTTTCTGGGCATCTCGAGGGATCCAGGGGAGCTGGGAATGGCTTCGGGCCAGGCGCTTTCTCGGCTTACCTTCAGGGTGTCATCTAGGAGTCCCTTCCCTGTCACAAACCCCATCAAGAAGATCTAGAAGAGAAGGAGGGCAGAGGACTCCCCCAGGCCGGACTCCTCCCTCGTCCTCTTGCACACCCACGTTACACTTGTTTAGGGGAGATGCCTAGCTCACAGCGCTGGAGTACCTTAGAGGCCAGACTCTTGGCTAAATGCCAGTCCAGCTGTAGAGGTAGGAACACTCTTGGCCCACCGAGGCCTGGAGGAAAAAAAAATCCTCAAGGCCGCAGCGGGGACGCTGGGCTTGGGGCTGTCCAGCCCAAGGCCGAGCTGTGCGTGGGATGAGGTTGTTGGTGATGGCATTTCAGGTGTTGAGAGAAGCATGGGCACCAAGACCATCATGAATTGCGTCCGGATGCAGCAGAGCAAAGATCCTGTAAAGCCCCAGGATTGTCCGATAAAGACAGAAGAGATTCTCCTCTGGAGCTACTGGGGGTGATTGTCAGGGGAGTAGTGTGGAACTAGGGATCTAATATGCAAAGCATGAACTTCAACCCTTTATGCAATCTCCCTGGTCCAAGGATTTTTTTCCTTTTTGGGTCACACCCACGATTCACAGTTATTACTCCTGGCTCTGCACTCAGGAATTACCTCTGGTGGTGCTCAGGAGACCATATGGAATGCTGGAACATGAACCCTGGTCTGCCGAGTGCAAGCAAGGCAAATGACCTACCCACTGTGGGGGGCGGTGCTTCCAATAAATGTTCAGGGTCTCCCAGGTGACTTCAGGTGACACTCTGCCTGACTAGCAGTTCCAGACTCAGCACAGTGCAGTTCTAGGGGCTACCGAGGCTTCCCCATGCATCAATTAGGGCAGAGAGAGATTGAATTCAGAATCTCAAACATGCTGGCACCCTTGAACTATCTCTCTGACCCCACAAAATCTTACACCTAGTGAATGAGAAATCACTTTTCCTAACATCTAAATGGTAACTGTTCTTTTTAACTAACTGTCAACCATCATACCAATTAAAACTTTTTTATTTTTTAAATCCTTTCTCTTCTGTCACTGCTGTGATGTCCCAGTGTTGTACTTGTGGTGGCGCTAGGGAATCAACAAATGGCAGAACTGCTGGGGTTGAATTTGAAGATGTGGGGCAGTGCCAGGGATCAGAGCTGAGGCCTGGTGACTGCAAGGCTGACCCTCTGCCACTGCGCAACAGTCCCAGGCTCTGTACTACTCACTTGAATGCATATCATGAATGTATGACTATTTTTTTTTTTGCTTTTTGGGTCACACTCAGCGATGCACAGGGGTTGCCCCTGGCTTTGCACTCAGGAATTACTCCTGGCGGTGCTCAGGGGGCCATATGGGATGGCTGGGAATTCAACCCGGGTCAGCTGCATGCAAGGCCAACAACCCTACCCACTGTGCTATCGCTCCAGCCCCAAGAATGTATGACTATTAAATTTACTTTACATTGGGAAATCTAAATTTCAAGCCTAGCCAACGGCACAGGTAGGATTTGAACTTAAGTAACCAAACCCCACAATCCAAACACAGTGCCCTACTGCTATCCCTTTGCTGTGGTAAATACACTGAGCCTTCCTGTGCCAAAATTCACCTACCTTTTCTGACAGCCAAAAATACCTGTATATTATCAGAAAGAGAGAGATAGACATAGAAAGACTGCATTCATCTGGGGAACATAAAGTAACAAAATAGGAGACTAACACCCAAGAGTGGCCGCGATTAGTACCAGGAGGTTTACTCCATGGTTTGGAGGCCAGCCACACATGCTAGGGGAAAAGGCAGCTCAGATACAGAAGGGAGCACCAAATAAAGGGTGTTGGGAAGATCCTCCCAGGATGGGAGAAGCATGCTGAAAGTAGACTGTAGACCAAGCATGATTGCCACTCAATGCCTCTTTTGCAAACCACAACACCCAAAAGGAGAGAGAGGACAAAAGGGAATGCCCTGCAACAGAGGCAGGGTGGGATAGGGGGATGGGGGGTGGGAGGGATACTGGGATCCGTGGTGGTGGGAAATGGGCACTGGTGGAGGGATAGGTACTTGATCATTGTATAACTGAAACCCAAGCACAAAAATTTGTAAGTCTACAACTGTACCTCATAGTGTTTCACTAATAAAAATTTAAAAAATACCTGTATATTATCTTGATTCTGCCTATGTTTATTAATGTATATCTTCATTCTGTGGCTTCCTGTAATATTTGAAAATAAACTGGGACATGCTTATGGAAATATGTGCTTGCTTTTGTGCATGAGAATGTGTGCATATACAAATATATATATACACAGGCATACTGAATGCATACATGCATGAAGAAGTACATGTAAGAAATAGCTGAGTACATGTTGGGTGTGCCTGTACTTCTGTGCTTATATGTATGTGCGTGTGTGTGTGTGTATGTGTGTGTGGTGTGTGCATGCTACATTTCACAGATACAGTTCCTACTTGGTTGTTATGGGAACCACCATTCTAAAATTGTTAAACCAAAACCCACTCAATGTGGGCCAGAGAAACCAAGAGAGCGAGAGCTGAGTGACAGACACAGTTGGGAGCCATGGTGGAAGCAGAGAACCGCAGGCTTAGCAAGAATTGGACAGGCACAGGTAAGCCACAAGATGGGGTTCCATTAATGGGAACCCAAAACTTGGATCAAGGCTTCAGTTCTGCTCCTTCCTGTCTCTCTCCTAGTCCTTCCTTCTTCCATTTTTCCAGCTTCAGGCTCTCCAGTCACCTTCCTTCTTCTTTACTCTTCTCTTTTCCTTTCTCCATTGAGGCCTTTAGACCTGTATTTTACAACCAGTCAACACAGCAATTAAGCACTAAGATATGTTGAGTGGTAGGTGTGGTGATACCGTGACCACACATGTGCATAAGACAAGGCCTACACCCTTAAAAGAATTCAGGAGTGGGAGGTTTGAATATTACAAGGGGAGGGAACAGAGAAAAGTGAGAGATGATAGAGGATAGAAGATTAATTGGGATCACATATGGAAGGTTTTCACTGAAGTGCATTTTTTTTGCAGAAATTTGCTGGAAGGTGGATACTGTAGTTATTATTCGTCGATTGCCTCGAGCAGGCCCCAGTAACGTCTCCTTCATCCTGGCCCTGAGGTTATATTCAAGGCTCTTTAGGAGAATGAGACCCATCATTGTTACTGGTACTTGGCATATTGGGTGCGCCACGGGGAGTTACTGCTCCTCACTGTAGTTAGTTTGGGATAAAACACCACTGATGGGGCCAGAGCAATAGTTTAGAGGGTAGGGCGTTTGCCTTCCATGTGGCTGACATGAGTTTGATCCCTGGCATCCCATATCCACCCTGAGCACCTCCAGGAGTAATTCCTAATTGCAGAGCCAAGAGTAGCCCCCGAACATCACCAGATGTGACCCAGAAAACAAAACAAAACGTCCCACTGTAGACGTTTCAGGGAAATTATACCAGTTTTATGGAATGGAGGGAGAGAGGATGAAAGCAGAGGAATTGCAGGAAGTGGTGTGGTATAGTTCAGGCTTGTCTCAATGAGGCACGGGGTTAGGATGAAGACAGAAGATCTAGCAGGGATTCCAGGTGGCTTTGCAGACTCTGTGCCCATATCCCATTCCATCAAGAGGCTTAATTCTTCCCCTTCTCTTCAGCACAAAGACTGTCTTCAGTAAGCCTGTGGCACTGACCTGTGAGTTGAGGCCCTCAATAATACTTGTAGAAAAAGTGGATATAAGGATACATGCACTGGTGTGGAACTAGAAAGCCCAATTCAATGCCCACTTTAGTCTTTCATCATTTGTGTTCCCTTAAAAAGAGAAACCCAGGGCCAAGGAAGATAGTTCAAGAGGTTACTGTGCATGCTTTGCATGCAGGAGTCCTGGATACCATCCCCAGCACTGCATCGTATAGACCACCAGGCCACCAAGCTCTGCTGGAAGTGAACCAAATATACACACATATATTTGTGTGTGTGTGTGTGTGTACATATAGTGAGAGACACAGAGAGAGAGACAGAGAGCACCAAACTTCACAGGGCATCAGTTGCCTCCTCTATACATTGAAAAATCACAAAGGATGTTTCTAAGGTCCTTCTAACCAAATGTTATTATGTGAATCTACATGATTTTATAGCTAAAGTGTGCATGTAAAATGGGAAAGACGGCATGGCCTGAGGCAATAGGCACAGAAAGGATAACTGTAGGAAAAAATTTTTTCAAAGGGGGTGCAAACCCAGTGATGCTCAGGGGTAACGCCTGGCTCTGCACTCAGGAATCACTCCTGGCAGTGTCTGGGCAAATTATATGCGATGTCAGGGATCAAACCCAGACTGGCTGCATGCAAGACAATCCGGGCTGGCTGCATGCAACTTGCTGTACTATTTCTCCAGCCCCTGTGGGAAAAATTCTAATAAAGGAGTTAACATCTTCTGGCTACAGTTTTAAGCAATATGGAGAATTAGATAATCCATAGACTTTCCTACTACAAATATGTGGACAGGTTCACAAAATAGAATAGAAATCCCAAATGCTTAACTGAGCCTGCAAGAAAGGAAAGAAAATTTATGAAGACCCAAATAAGAGAATTGAAGCCAAAAAATGGAAGCATGAGATTTGCCATGTGTAATCCCAAGAGGTTTGGGGAGGGAGTTGTTTCTGAGAATGTGTAACTAGTATTGTTTGAACTTGTAACACTGGCCTGATGCCAGAATCCCTAATCAAAAAGTTAACACAATGACTCATCTCCATCAGTTGATATTCCTTTTTTGTTTGTTTTTGAGCCACCCCTGGTGATGCTCAGCATTTACTCCTGACTCTGCATTCTGGGATCAGGCAGGCGTGGGGGACCATATGGGTGTCAGTAATCAAGCCTGGGTCCACCAGGTGCAAGGTATTAATTTTCTGGCCCCAATATTTCTAACATGGATAGTGGGAGCAAATACAGAGTTGCTCAGGAAAAAATACCCTTATCTCCAGCCACAGAGTACTGTGGCCTAGGTAAAACCCCATTGAAGATGAATTAACAAGTTAAATGCTGCAATACTTAAAGGACACAATGTGCCATGAATTAGAGTAGAAAAGACCCTGAATAACTTTAGTAAGTTACAGCCCACCTGGCCAAAGAGACAACTCAAGGGTTGACCACATGCTTTGTATGCAGGAGACCTGAGTTCAATCTTTGGCTCTGCATGGTCTCCCAACCACTGCCAGAAGACAACTTCAAACACAGCGCCAGGAGCAATCTCTTAGTACTACCAGGCCCTAAACCCAAAAGTAACTAAACAAAGTTTGTGTACATTTATCTTTTAAAAACAAACAAACACACACAAAACAGTATAGGGTCTGAAGAGGTGGAATAGGGGTAAGGCACTCGTGTGGGGCTTATCCTGTAAAGATTTGGTTTAACTCTCAGGTGCCACATATGGTTCACAGGCCCTCCAGGGATCAAGGAATCCTAAGTACAGAGCCAGGAACATACACTAAGCTCCATCTGGTGTGGCCCAACCCTCCCCCAGACCCCCAAATACAGTCCACCTGAGAGCCTGATGTGGTCTAGGCAGGGGTCGAAAGTGAGTTCCATGAAACTGTACAAATGTGTCTAGGTGTGTCTAGGGAACCAAACAAATGATGGCTACCACTAGCAGAAACTTGGTAGATGGGAGGATGATTTGGTTTCCGGCAGACTGCAGTTGAAATGGTGATGGGATACTGCGATGACAATGTTCATGAAGCTGCAGGTGGGCTGAGAGGAAGGCTGGCTCTGATGGCATCAAGGGAGTAGTGATGGCTGAGGCCTAGGAATAAATGTGATCTCTAGAGAGACTGATAGGGTAACAAAAGAGATAGGTCAGAATAAAGGCTAGGCATATATCTATGTTTTGAGAATCTGACAAAAAAACATAAAAAGAATCAAGCAAGGAAAATGTGCTCTGTTAGTACCCAGTTTTGTTGGATCCTGGGCTAGGGCAACTTTCTGATTGCTCCCCCCACCCCCCGCCCCGCCAATTGCTGCCCAAACATTCTCTAATGGAATCTCCAGTAAACAAAAGAGATTTCTCGAGGAATAATAGACCTTTTTTGACTTGGAGATCTTCAATCATATGGGACTCTGATATTGGTATTACTAAGAAACTTCTGAGTTTTTGGTTCTGTTTTTGTGTGTGTGCTGGGGATCCAACCCAAGGCCTTACACATGCAAGTTATGTTCTCTTCTGCTGCCCCACATCCCCAGACCTCTGAAGTTCAGTATTTTCATCAGTGATAAAGGGCTCAGGGGGTGTGAGAACAAATTGGGGTATAAAAAACTTATATTTATGTAATGTACTGATATAGACATAAACTGTTGGCCTTCTTTCTTTGTTCCAGCTGTGTGGTTTAGGACCAGTTGTTTGAAACATGGGCCTTTATGCTCCACTTTTTCCCTACTCTGCATGGAAAAGTGCTATGTCTATAAATGAAAGATGTGGTCCCTTAAATAGTAAGATAATGGATGTGGTCATTATCCTATTTCAGTGTATCTACAACTTATTTATTACAAGGTCTTATAGTCCATCATATATATATATATATATCTTAATAATAGGGGTACTTTCCTCAGGCTATTCTTTTAAAAAGTTAGCTCCTCTAGAAGAGGTAATATTGAATCTTATGCCACAAATTAATTTTTCAGATAGAAGATATTCAGCCATGTGAATATCTGGGGAGATATTCACTTAACATCTGAGGGAGGGAAATGGGTGGAATTCTTTGGCTTGATAATGTCTCTGGTCAGCTGAAGAGTCGAGGTGTGGGTAAGCACATCTGAGAGAGAAGGGGTGAAGAGGCCAGAGGGTCAGAAGGTGGGTAGTTGATAGGGCTGTCAGGTTTTCTTTATTCAAGGATACTTAGCTCCAAAGAGAATGAAGTCACCGGACAGTCCCTTTCCTTCCTGTGGTAGAAATTAATTGTTGTTGGGGAGGAGAGATCAAGTACATTACCAACTTTGAAAGCTCGGAGAGGGGCAGAAAGCTTTAGGAGTTCAGGAAGTAAAGAGGAGCTGGATTTCATCCGTTTCCACCTTTTCCAACACAGAATTATGCAGTCTTCCCCACCTTCCTAGCGCCATTCCCCTGATGCTACGAAGGGCTCACTTAGAAGGGAAGCTGGTGAAAAGGGGTCATGGTGGATGCATGCAGGGAAGGCTGGGTCCCACTAGGCCCTGACACTAGGCACTTCTCAAGACGAATTACTCGTAGACTAACGGAGCCTCTGTGACACCCTTGAGTGTTCACCAACAGCACTGACGCTCCACAGTCTTCTGCTGCTGACTAGGGCTCCCTCTAGTTGCTGAACCCTCTTTTCACTTCCCAGTAGGAAGTGTGACTCCTAGCGGGAGGTGACTCCTGGTAGGAAGCTTTCTCAAACTGTGCTGTTAAACTGAAGAGTAGCCAGGGGTGAGGGTGTTCATAATAAAAGTACCGGCTTTGCAGTGAGTGTTTGATGCTGTCTGTTCCTATGTGAATTAACCATTAACAAAACCTGCATTATTTCTCATTTTAAAAATAGACTATAAAGGCCTGCTACACTTGGGATTGTAAAGGTTAAGAAGGTTAATACAGGGGCCATGTTTAACACTTAAGGCTCTCCATCGCTCTCAAGTTCTGGAAGGACCTTGAGCCCTCAGGCCAACTGTGATTAAATCCATCCATCATTTCAGCACATATTTATTGACTCCCTCCAATTGTGCCACAGTGCCTGACAGCTGTGCAATGATTCCGTGAGGGTGGCATCTCCTTTCTTTCCTTTACTGGCATATAGTCTCCCGGGGAATGGGCATGGGGATGGTTGAGGACCTTGGATAGCAGATTCATAAGCTTTTAGCACAATAATTTTAATTGCAAAAATAAACAGTTTTGTCAACTGCTTGAGAGTAGCGTTTGCTTTACAAAAAAAAAAATGAACAACAACAGAAAGAAAATTACCCCAAAGCGAAACGTCACATCCGATGGCTGCTGGAAAGGACATGGCTGTACAAAGTCCCGCGCGAGACCGGCTCGGCGCTGCCCCAGCCTGTCTGGGTGGGTGGGTGGGTGGGTGGGTGGAGGTGTCTGGGAGAAGGGCGTGGGGCATGCGCCAGTTACAAGAGCCAGAGAGAGAGAAAGAGAGAGCGCCAGAGAGAGAGAGGGGGGGAAGAGAGAGAGAGAGAGAGAGAGAGAGAGAGAGAGAGAGAGAGAGAGAGAGAGAGAGAGGAGGAGGCTGTCCTTGGTCCCTACCTACTCCCTGGGTAGCCACAGAGAGCTTTCCACCAAGAGCGGCAGGCAGTGGAGAGACCAAGCCAGCCGGGGAGCTGTCCACGGAGCCGGTGCTGAACGGTGCGCGTGCGGCGGGCGCGTCAATGGATCTGGTAGCGGGATCAGAGACCGGCTCCCGGGCTCCAAGGGGTGCCAGCCAGAGAGAGGTGGGAAGAGGAGCAGCTAGGAGTGCGGGCCGAGTCTTCCCCGTGTGCGCCGGGCGGCGGCGCCCCAATCTGCAAACCCATCTCTCCCTTCTCACAGGGCGGCGAAGGAAAGCCCCAAGGAGTAAAAGCCCAGGCCTTTGAGCCGCTCCTCGGCGCGCGCCTTCTGCTTGAGGTGCACCTTGCTGTGCCGCTTCTTCTCGTCGCTGCGCGCGAAGCGGCGGCCGCACACGTCGCAGGCGAAGGGCTTCTCGCCCGTGTGGGTGCGCACGTGCGTGGTGAGGTGGTCGCTGCGGCTAAAGTTGCGCAGGCAGATGCGACACTGGAAAGGCTTGTGGCCCGTGTGGATGCGCAGGTGGCGGTTGAGCTCGTCGGAGCGCGCAAAGCTGCGCACACAACTCTCCACCGGGCAGGCGAAGGCCTTGGCGTGCGGCCGCGGGCAGAAGCAGCGCGCGCTGCACTTGCCGCCTCGGCGCCCCTTGCGCCGCGCCTTGGCTGGGGGGAACGCCGCGGGGGGTGGTGGTGGAGGCTCGGGCACGCCGCTGCTCCCGGGGATGTCCGCCACCAGAGGCTTCGCGAAGTCCGCCCCGGCGCCGCGGAGGCCCAGCGGGGAGAGCACCGGCTCGGGGCCGGCCAGAAACTCGCCACCGTCGGCGCCGCTCCCCCCGTCTGCAGTGGGAGGGGTCAGGAGCCCCGGGAGGCCGTCGGCGCCCTCCCCCAAGTCTCCCGGGGCCAGCGGGAAAGCGTCGTAGGCTGCCGGAGGGTAGAGTCTATTGGCCGCGCCGGCCGGCAGCTCTGCAGGACAGCTGATGGAAAGCAAGTCTTCGATCTTGGTACCCATCGGGGGGAAACGGGTTTCCGGGGCGGCCTGGAAGCCTCCCTGCGACCCGCAGTTCCCTGGGGCGCCGGTCGAAAGCAGCTCCCAGGGCGCATAGGGCCCTTTGAAGGCCGAAGCAGCGTCCAGCGCGGGAGAGCCCGGAGGAGCCCGGAGGCCAGGCTTGACGTCGGGCGGGGAGAGCTGAGGCTCGTAGAGGCACTGCGAGGGGGCGCCAGCGGACGACGAGGCCTCCCAAAACGCCTCGGGGAAGGCGGCCGCGCCCAGATCCGGGGAGTAAAGGTCCGGCGGAGCCGGCAGCAGAGTGTCGGAGCCTGCGGGGAAAGGGGCGTCCAGCGGAGACCGGGACGCCGACGCTGACGCCTCCGGGCCGGGGAAAGGCGCAAGGCCTAGGATGCCCGACATGAGGTTGAAGAGTGCCTCCGGGTCGTGCGGGTGTTCGGGCACGGCCTGGATGAAGAAGCTCCCGCTGTAGCTGAGGCCGGGAGGGGGTGTGGGCGCTGGCCCCTCCAGGAAGCAGGAGTCCACCAGGTCTCCCCCGGCGCCGCAGCTGCTCAAAGCCCAGCTCAAGAAGTCGCCTGCTGGGGAGGGCGCAGGAATGAACTCCGGGTACAGCCAAGGGCAGGCGCGGAGTCGGCACCCCCTTTCCCCCCAACACTCACGAAGCCCACTGACACAGAGAAAGATGCAGTTTGGGCATTCTCATTCTCCTGGAGCCGCAAACCCCCCCTGGACGCTCGCACAAACATGCACACGCAAAACACACGTGCACGGGCGAAAAAAATGCCTGGATGCACGGCGCAGGTCCCGCGGAGGCGGCCGCCCCGGTGGGGGGTGGGGACGGGGTTGCAATTGGGGTTGCGAATCCCCAGGACCTTGCAATCGACCCTACCACCCCACCCCCCCAATCCTTCACCTCCACCGGGCTCCCGCGTCCCGATCCCTGCGGCTTCTCTGGCACCGTGCGCCCCCGCGCTGTGCAGCCGTCTGAGCATCCCGGCTTCGCTCCTTACCTCCGGGGTAGCCGGCGGCCGCGGGCGCGTCCCTGGCGGGCGGCTGGGACAGTTCTGGGCTGGGTTCGGCGCAACAGCCCTCGCTGGACTTGACCAGGAGCGCGTCGGGGCCAGAAAACTCGCTCAGGTGGAGCATGGCGCGGCGGCTGCGGGGCGCCGGGGGCCTTTCCCGCTGGGCTGGGGGGCGCGCGGGTGGCGGGGAAGCCGGCAGTGGAGGCGCCCCGCGCCTCGCACACCCGGACTCCTGGGCTTCGGGTACCGGGCGCTCAGCTCTGGGGAGGGGGTCGGGGGGCCGCGGCGCCCTAGCTCGCCGGGACCGGTTTCGGGCGGCTGCACCTCGCTTCTTCAAAGCGCAGCCGGGCTCCCCCAAACCGCGGCGCCCCCTCTTATATAGCGGCGGCGGCGCTGGCTCCGGGCTTCCGACTCCCCGGGCCACTGCCATTTCGGGAGGCCCCGGCCCTGCCGCCGTGACGTAAATGCCCAAACATGGACACAGGATGTGTGCCGGGGACTCCCGAAAAGGAAAGCTCGGGCTGTGACGTCGCCGCCGCCGCCGCCGCCGCCGCCGCTGCCGCCGGGTCCGTGCCGCTGCGTGCACGAGCGCGCGCTCCGAGCCCCGTGCGCGCCGGGACGCGGGTTCGCCCAAGGGGCCGCCACGCGGCGTGGGGGTCCGACGTGCTGCGTGCGCGCCCCCCACTACGGGAGCTCGGGAAAGACTGCCTTGGGCCTTGGGATTGAGCGGTTTGATGCTGTCTCGTTGAAATCGCCCCAAGCCTCAGTCTTCTTACCTGTGAAATGGAGCTATGTTCGAGCGCCTTCCAAATTGAATTGGGCAGCAAAAAAGAGTCCTTGGGTATACGGGCAGCTAATAAACCATAGAGATAGTGCTGCTCTCAGGTCTTGGCTTATACCTGTGTGATTTTTCACTTTAAAAAATAGTTTTGGTTCCCACCCCCCTCCACCCCGGCCCCAGGAAGGATAACTTTATTTCAATTGAAAAGCACCGGTAAGTTAGCAAGTAGCTAACGCCGAGAGGGGAAATGTCTATCAAAATAAGATATATTCTAAATTGGAAAAATACGAATACATCACGGGTAGCTTGCCAAGACTTTGCCGTGTGGGGAGAGATACTCTTGGTAGCTTGCGGGGCTCTCCGAAAGGGGCAGAGGAATCGAACACGGGTCGGCCGCATGCAAGGCAAATGCCCTACTCGCTGTGCTATAGCCCCCAAGTTGGAAAATAAAAATTTCTCCCCAGACATCGTAATGACACCTATGTTTCTTGTGTATTCCTTTAGGGCAAAAAATTGTGCCGAAGCAAATACAACACTATTCTGTGATACACCTTTTCTCAGGGATGGGGGGTGGGGGGGTGGAAGGGATACTGGGATCAGTGGTGGTGGAGAATGGGCACTAGTGAAGGGATGGGTACTTGATCATTGTATAACTGAAACCCAAGCACAAAAATTTGTAAGTCTACAACCGTACCTCATGGTGTTTCACTAATAAAAATTAAAAGTAAAGTAGTCAAGGGGCCAGAGAAATAGTACATCCTGTAAGGGCTCATTCCTTGCATATGGCCGATCTGGGTTTGATCCTTGGCATCCTGTATAGTTCCCTGAGCACTTTCAGGATTGATTCCTGAATGCAGAGCCAGGAGTAACCCCTGAGTAGCTGGCCCAAAAACCAGAACAAACAACAAATTGAGAGGTTGCTCCCGAAAATTTTGGACTTCCCTTGTTCCTTCTTTTCTGAGCCTGTATTGTAATGCCAGTAGTCCATTGGCCCTCAATTCGAGCGTGTGTAGAAAGTTTACAATTTTTGCCAAGTTTGTAAATGAATGTGAATATGTTGTCACACTTGATTAAATAAATTTTAACGTAACTGTGGGATAAATTCTAAGGAGCATAAGTCTAGGTCAAATGGTATGTACAATTTGGCAAGTTGTCCTCCAGAGAAGTTTTAGGACTAATTTCTACTTTTCTTTCACCCAAAGGATACTTGTGTGTGTGGGGGGGGGGGGGCGGTGCACACCCAGTGATGCTCAGGGGTCACTCCTGAATCTGCACTCAGGAATCACTCTTGGTAGTGCTCAGGAGGTCCATATGGGATGCCAGTGTTTGAACCTGGGTTGGAGGTGTCAAGGCAAGCACCCTAGCCCTGTGCCCCTCAAAAGATACTTTTATAGGCATTCCTGAGCCCCACTCCCTCACTCCACCATCATTTTCATATAAATAAGTTTTACTTTAGGATAGTTCCAGAAATACAGAAGATATCCCTGGAATTAGAACCTGGAATTATTGAGTTTCCTTTGAAAAAACTCAAAGCAACAAATCATTCCCTGACTTTAAGGATGCTGTATCTTTGCCATAGAAGGGCAGCCTTCCTTAACACCAACAAAGAAGCTTTTCTACTCTGAATGAATCTCTCTTCTTCGGTTTTCCATTTTAGTTCTTCATCCTCTTTAAAATGTTTATTTTTTCTCAAAACTCGTTTAATTGATTTCTGGAGCACAATGAGGGGATTAAATAGATATATGACATATTTTCTCTATGAATAGAATCAATTTGTGGTACTCTGAGTGCTGGAATGTGGTGAGGGCAGGGCCGGGACCCCTTCCCCCACTTTCTTTTCTTTCCTAGAATAGAAAAAAGAGCCATTAGGGGAGAGGGGTGTTAGGCTACAGCACGACAGGAAGTTGATCTCTCAGCCTCTTTTATCCGCTGGTATCCACCATTTGAAGAGAATGACAAAAGTACCCAAACTTCTCCAGATTCTCATTTCACCTTATATCCATTATCCAAACATTAATTAATTCTTTCTTTTTTTTTTTTTTTTTGCTTTTTGGGTCCTGGCGTTGCATAGGGGTTACTCCTGGTTCATGCACTCAGGAATTACTCCTGGAAGTGCTCAGGGGACTATATGAGATGCTGGGAATCGAACCTGGGTCAGCTCTGTGCAAGGCAAATGCCCTACCCTCTGTGCTATCGCTCCAGCCCCCATTAAATCATTCTTTTGTTCAATTTCTCTTTCATTTTTGGGGGAGACCTGAGGTGCTCAAGGATTATTCCCAGAAGTGCTTGAGGACACCAGGCTGTGCTAAGAATCTAACCTGTACATCTTGCAATCAAAACATGTGCTCAGCCCTTTGAGACATCTCTCCATCCCCATTCAGTTTCACAATGTTCATTTATTCCTGAAGTGTTTACCAGGGGTCAGAGGTAGATTTTTTATTTTGTTCTACCCGGAGCCATCTTGATCCCTCGGTTCCCATTACTTCACCACCCCCTCCGGACAACCCTACAGGTGTGTTCACAGAATGTCATCACATAACCACCTGCAAAACATATGCTCACACACTCGCATTCATCTTGTCTCTCTTATCATACAAAGGTTTGCACAGAATGCTTCGTAGGCAACATGGATTCATATATGCCACAGAAACAGATATATTTTAGCAGCATATATGTTTGCATACAGAAAATGGAGAAACTCAGCACATGACTATATGGGTTAGATGCATGGGGAAATACTTCCCTTAAATAGGACTTCAGACCCAGCATTTGCGTCTAATCCAAATGCATCTCCAGTGCCAGGTAATCCCACAGCAGACTTTCAGGGCACACATGCCTCAAATCCACTCTGGAGGGGGAGTGGAGGGGTTTGGCTAGGCCTGGGTCCAGGGCTCCCCAGGTTGCCCCGTCGGGCCAGATTGGCCAGCCCCAGGTTCCCCATCCCTTCTGCTGCTCTTCCCTCTGCCACAGCATTCCTACTCCTTCTTAGTCATGGATAATTCCCCTATCCTCTTGGCAAATCTCCAGACCAGTGCCAGTTTCTGCCAAGGGCCATTGGGCTGTCTTTGTTAACACAAGGACCTAGGTTTCCACACTTCCTAACACCCATCCCTGTGTCTTCAGTACATACATACAAGATGGTTACTTCTAGAACGCAATTTGCAACTGCATTTGATTTGCTGAAGAGGAGGTAGGAATATAAAGGGGGAAGTGGGCATTTTGTAGCCCTCTCAGTACAGCCCCTCTTACTCCTACATTTTCTTATATTTTTTTCTCTCTCCACCTCCCTCCCTCCCTTCCTTCCCCTTCCTTCCTTCCTTCCTTCCTTCCTTCCTTCCTTCCTTCCTTCCTTCCTTCCTTCCTTCCTCTCTCTCTCTGTCTCTCTCTTTCTTTCTTGTTTGTGGCCACATCCAGTGATGCCCAGGGCTTGCTCTTAACTCTACACTCATAAATTACTCCTGGAAGTGCTCAGGAGACCATATGGGATGCTGAGAATAAAACCCAGGTCAGCCATGTGCAAGACAAACACCCTACCCACTGTACTATCTCTCTGGACCTCTTAGTTCTGATTTTCAATTACTTAAAATGAGATTTGGGGGGCCAGAGGTTAAAGCACTTGCAGTGCATGCAGCCAAACCCAGTTTGCTCCCTATCACCAAATCTGGTCCCCTGAGTATCAACAATAGCCACTCCTGAGCACTGATGAGTGTGACTCCACACTTTCTCAGGCAAAAGAAAGAGATTCTAGAGCTGCGAAGATGGTACAGTGGACGCTTGCCTTGAATGTTGCTGATCTTCATTTGATCCTGGCATTCCATATGGTCCCTTAAGTACTGTTCACTGCTCCCCAAAAATCAAAAGAAGGAGGAGGAAGAGGAGAAAGAGTTGGAGATGGAGGAAAAGGAAAAGGAGGAACAGATGAAGAAGAAGAAAGAGAAGAAGAAATAATTCTGGGAGTAAGGAGTGAGTAGACCTGGGCTTAATCCGCCCATACCACATGATCCCTCAGCGTGGAGCCAGGACTAGCCCCTGATTACCACCAAAATATAACCAAGGAGCGATGCTGGGCACAGATAGACTAAAGGCCTCTGTAAGGAATAAGAGAGATAAGCTTAGATCTGTGAGGTCCACTTTATTTATTTTTAAAGTTTTTATTATTTAATTTTTTAATTGAGTCACAGTGAGATACACAGTTACAAGCTTGTTCCTGATTGGGTTTCAGTTATATAATAATGTACCAACAGCCATCCCTCACCAGTGTACATTTCCTGCCACCAATGTCCCCAGTCTCCTCCTGCACCACCCTCACCTGCCTCTATGGCAGGCACTTTTCTACTTTTCTTCTGTCTGTCTGTCTTCTGTCTATCTCTTTCTTTCCTCTGTGTGTGTGATTCACTTTAATATGCAGTTCAAGTAGCACTGTAGTACTGTCTTCCCATTGTTCATCGATTTGCTTGAGCGGGCACCAGTAACATCTCACAACAAATTGTGAGACCTGTTGTTACTGTTTTTGGCATATTGAATACGTCACAGGGAGCTTGCCAAGCTTTGCCGTGCGGGTGAGATACTCTCGGTAGCTTGCTGGGCTCTCCGAGAGGGGCGGAGGAATCGAACCCAGCTCGGCTGCATACAAGGCAAACGCCCTATCCACTGTGC